TCAACAATGAACTCTGGTATGATTTGCCAGAAAACAAGAAATACTCAGCAGAATGAAGCTGGCTATCCTCAAAAATGCACCATGAAGACAAGTCGTAAATGACCTTCTATTCTCTGTACCAGCTACACCTGCTGTGTATCTATTACCAAGTTTCTTAAATGCTGTACATATGGTGGTGTTCATTCTGAAAGTTAGAAATTGGGACTCAAAACAACGGGAAATGAGAATGATAACATGAAATGAGCTTCCTGTACACATTCGGTAGTTTATATATTACCATTTGACTCAAGCTAAATTTGCTATTCAAATTCAATGCAAATTTTAGTGATTATCCTGTTTGTTCTGTGTTAATTTAGCTATCTCAGCAAATTGCCAATCTCCAATTTGATACACACACACACACACATATACACACACACACACCTTTTTAAAACATATGGAGTGCTTTTATGAATTACCCACATTTTTGTCAGATTATGAACATTTCTACACCAAAGTGATTTTTCACTTTAAGATGGTGTTAGGATTAGGTTTGCCTGCAGGTACCTGAAACCAGAAATCAATGTAGATTGTTCACACAATGTTTTATGTTAACATTCTTGAATAGCAAGCCACCTCCAGAATGGGAGTTGCACAGATTGTCTAAAGAAACCTAGACCTTCCAGCTTTCTGCTTTGCCTCCTCTGGGGATAGGACCCAATGTGACCACCTCACCTTTTCTGCATCAAGAAAAGGAAAAAATAGGCTTTTCCTGGAAGGTGTAAAAAATATTCACACCCATTGCACAGTCCAGTTATGGGTCATATTTAAGTTTAAGGGAAGCTGGAACATGGCCGTCTGAAATCCATGTAATCACTTGAATGTGGGGATTTTGCTTCTGATTATATGAAACATAGAGGTAATGAGTAGGTTCTGGAATTAAGCAACTTTGACTATTGGCTACATAAGTTAAGAGGTTATAACTTTGAGCAGAAGTCTTTAAGCTTTCCATATCTTCATTTCCTTCTGTGCAACAGGAGAATGGTAGAGCTGTTGAAGGCTTAATGTGAAGACATTTAAAGTGGAGTCTGGACATTTGCTATTATTAATAATAAGCATTTAGCCTTATGATCGATTTTAACTCACTAAATTGTAGTCACTTAGCTTCTGAGGTTTGTTTACCTCTCTATGTATGTATTAGCCCTATATATTAGATGTTTGAAATTACAATGGAGTGCTTGATGCACCTAGCTTTATATGAAAGTTTCTTTAGCTGTTTTGTAGAGTAGATGTCCAGAGAGCATAGCATAGGCTCTGGCAAAGGCTCTATAGTGGATGGTACCAAGCATGTTGATAAGTACCTGGTGTGGTCAGAAACACAAGTGCTCATTTTTATAGCAACCCTCTCTTCAGAACCACCAAAGGGTCACAAGAGAACTACCCCACACCTTTAATGGCCAAAAGACCTCTACTAGCCACCCTCCACCTCCCCCCACCCCCCACTGAAAGACCACTTGGGTCACTACCCTGGGACCCAGTCTTTTAATAATCTGAATCTTTGTACTGAATGCTATTAATGAATATCCAAATCACAGCAGCTTAAAATCCAGCATGATGCCCAGCACTTGGTGTAGATACAGATGGATAGATGAATCAGTGAATAAGACTGGATATGTTTTTAATCATGAAACTACTACTGTTTAGCTGGTTTACCTAGCCTTACGTAAACTTTTTCAGTCTTAGTTTGTCCATCCCAGAAATGGAGCAATTAGGCTACACATTTGTTCCTGTGCCCCTTCTGATCTACTTTCTGCCCTTCTAAACCAAGGACAAAGGAGTCCGACTGCATAAGTGACCTTCCTTGTCTTTTGTTTTCCTATTGAGATTGATCCACTGGAGGTGATAAGAAGTGGGAGGAGCCTGAGCTTAGCCATTTATCCTCAAGCTTTTGTCTTTATAGGGTCATGGCTTAGTGATAACTGTCTCTTCTGAAAGCTAAAACTATTAAGAAGCTGTCTTTTTATAGCTGTAGGTTTTTTTTTCTGGATTCCAGTAACTGGTCTACCATGTGGCTCCTTTATAAATAGATCCTTCATTAAACCCCCAGTTCAATCATTTGATTATTCTTTTCCTCTGAGACCAAGATTGAGATACAGCTGTCTGTTGCTGTGGGTATTTAATGAAATAATGAATGTAGAGTGCTTGATACAGAATAAGCATAAGGTCGACAAATGCTACTGTTATCTTTTCCCTTTTACTCCTCTTGGTTTCACGTTTGACAGTGTCTTTGTTTCAAATAATTGCCTAAATTCTGAGGGGTCTGTTACAAATAAAGCAGTATTGGAAATGATCAGAGCATACTTAAGGTTAATATTTTAGTCTGATACTTTCAAACAAAATGGCAGTTACTAATTTTTTCCCTCGAAGAGAATTTTTCTTTTTTGTTGAAATACATATGAGTGTCAACTCCATATCACCTCCCTACCACCATCACCATTGACTTGTGAACTGGAAAATCTGAGGAAAAGTAGTTGAACTAATAGTTTATGGGTCAACAATTGGAAACTGGGTTGAACGAGGAAATTGGGCTGAGCTGGAATGCTGCTGATTTGAGGTTTTAGAGAACAGTGGCCAGAGAAGCCAAGAAGCCAGAAAGAACATGGTGTACACTGGGAACATGGGCAGAGACTATTGTTAAAATGATATTCAGTAGGATAGCATCCTAGTTATCACAGAATTTTATTGGTAGGTCAAAGTGGACCCAAGCTCTTTGGCAATAGCTCTGATATTCTTGCAGTTGAAGGCTTCAAATTTCAAAGAGTAGTTTCCTTCCTTCCTTCCTTCCTTATTTCCTTATTTCCTTCCTTCCTTCCTTATTTCCTTATTTCCTTCCCTTTCTTTCTTTCTTTCTTTCTTTCTTTCTTTCTTTCTTTCTTTCTTTCTTTCTTTCTTTCTTTCTTTCTTTCTTTCTTCCTTTCTTTCTTTCTTTCTTCCTTCCTTCCTTGCTTGCTTGCCTTTCTTTCTTCCTTCCTTGCTTGCTTGCCTTCCTTCCTTCCTTCCTTCCTACCTTCCTTCTACCTGGACTCTGTTCCTGAGCTTTTTTGCTCAAGGCTAGAACTCTACCACTTTCAGCCACTGTTCCACTATCCATTTTTGAGTGGTTAATTGGAGATTAGTGTTTCAGGGGAACTTTTTCCCCCAGGCTGGCTTCAAATAGTGATCCTCAGATCACAACTTCCTAACTAGGATTACAGGAGTATTTTCTTTTTTTTCTTCTTCTTCTTTTTTTTTTTTTTTGTCGGTCCTGGGGCTTGAACTCCGGGCCTGGGCGCTGTCCCTCAGCTCTTCAGCTCAAGGCGAGCGCTCTACCATTTGAGCTACAGCGCCACTTCTTTCTTTTTCTTTTTTAAATAAAAAAAATCTGCTGAGAATAATGTATTCTGGGATTTCATTGAACATTTTAGGGAACCTCATTTTCAGGTTTAGGAAGATGATGGATTTTCTTGTTGCTAAGGTCTGGCTCTCTACTCTGAATCTCCAGATTCATTATCTTCTAGAGTTTTGTATGGAAATACTCTGTGTGTGTGTGTGTGTGTGTGTGTGTGTGTGTGTGTGTGTGTGTGTAAAAATACCGTACAGAGGGTTACAATTACATGGGCAAGGTAATGAATACATTTCTTATCAAGCATTGTTGCCTCCTCCTTTGTTTCCCCTTCCCATCCCTTCCCATTTCCCACCCACTCTCCCCCGTCCCCCAAAGTTGTAAAGTTTGTTTTTCAACATAACAACTTGTATATCTCATTGTTGCAATGGGTCCACTCCCTTCCCCTCCACAAATTATACCAACATCAAATACAATGAAAGCAGGGGTTATACCATGGTGGAGGGACATACAAAGCAACAAAAAATTTATCTTATAAATATGTTAGAAACAATTGCAAGAGAGAAAAACCATTTGAATCCTTATCTTGGGGTTCATTTCATCTAACATCAACTTATCGGACCTTTTCTGCTTGTCTCAGACATATACTAGTTATTGCAAATAAGGAAAACCATTGGACCTATGTTTCTTTGGGCCTGGCTTACTTTACTTAATATAATTTTTTCCAAGTCTTTTCATTTCCTAACAAATGGGGCAATGTCATTCTTTCTGATGGAGGCATAGAATTCCATTGTGTGTATATACCACATTTTCTTGATCCATTTATCTACTGAGGGGAATCTGGGTTGTATGGAAATATTGAACCCTGAGCACATCATAGTCTTCTTGCATTTAGGAACAAAAATTTTTGCTTTCAAAATTTCTTAAATGTTAGCATGATGGTTCTTCAGGTAATCTTTCACAGCTATGATTGCTTGATAATTGACTGAATTATCCTCAATGACAGAGAACAAATAACAATAGTGATAGTTTTTGATTGCTGCAAACATTTTCTTACCTAAGGAAGTTAGAACAAACAGTCTTGAAAAGGACGCAGAGGAAAATAGAAATTAGGGAGAGTTAGCATTTGGTCGAATGAAGCACTATTTATTACCTGGAAACAATTAAGCTGAGTTTTATTTTCTAGTATCACACAGCAAGGGACTGTTATTTTTACATATATTTTGAAAATGATAGGAAGATTATTAGGAAAGTAATATACTTTCAAAAGATTGAAAGAAGATCATCTCTAGGGTGAAAGTGACAATTATTTTTACCCTGGCATATTTTTTTTAATTGAAGTATAAGAATTTGGGAAAGTTAAATCCCTCCCTGGGGGCAGCCTATGGGGTAGAATCTCAAGGGTAGAGGAAGTGTCTGGAATTATACCTGAGAGCATGTTTTTCTGGCCTGGGAAGGAACTATTCATTGGATATTTATGAAGGAATAGTTGATGGCTATGAGTTATATTACTCATTTTTAAATGTCAACTGGAGTCAACACTTAAAATTAGAATGTACTTAAATAGGAACATGTAGTTAGTAACTAGCCCTACAGAGGATGAATTCATTTCTCTTGTCTATGGTTTCTATTTTTCCAGATTTGGATATCAGAAACACGTGAACAAATGTCACAGGTTTTCTTAAACCGAGAACTGGCTGAAAAAAGGAACAAGGCCTTACTAAGTGAGGAAACAATGAGCTCTGGGATTGTTGACAGGTATCCTTCGTGCTCTCTTTTGCCTATACAACTTGCTCCAGGATCATGCTCATGAAACCACATTTGGGGGAAAGAAGGATCCTGATCCCAGCACACACCACATATTGTTTTAAGCCTCCCTACTTTCAGGCTGCTGCCTCTGCTTAGAATTCCTTCTTCCTCCATCATTCACCATGCCACATAGCCTGGGCCTAGCTAAAAAAATCTTTGTTTGCTGTCTACAGTCCTGATTGCAGACCTGTAAAACGGGAATCATGAAAGTGTTTGGTTCATACAGTCATTTAGATAACATACAATATGAAATATGCCTAGAAATATTTTTCTGAAATGCAATAAAGATCAGACAATTCATCATTAGAATGGATTGCTTCTACTCTCCTAGCCATCTGAGCATTGTATGCTCCTCTGTAACAGTTGATCATGTATGCTGATTGTCTGTGTCTATGTTTCTCCAGAGCTGGAGATAAACACATTCTTTGAGTGTAGGAATTGTTTTTAGTCATACTTTTTATCCTTTCATGGGAATGTGAGACATAGACTTTTACCTTTTATTTTAATTGTAGAAAAATACAAAGTAAGAACAAAATACTAAGATTTCTGTTTTTGTGTGTTGGTAAGTTTTATGTGGCAAAACATATAAACAATGAAAACCCTTTGAAAAATAATTATGTAATTTTCAAGCCCCAATTAACTTTGTATGGCTTTGAAAGTTTATGTATGACAAGTAGACATGTTTTCTAAAAGTTACTTTCTTGTTCATAGGGACACTGGCTTACCCGCTACAGGCTTTGGAGCTCTCTTTAGGAGACATCCACCTGATAGGAACAAAATGTAAGTTATTTTTGAACTGCTGGGGATTGTGGAGAATGCATATGGATTCCAGAGATTTGTTTGGAGGGTGAAAAACATCTTTAATAAAAAAATTTAACAAAAGATTTTTGTTCACCAAGAAGCATAGCACTAATAATTGTGATCGTAGTCATAATAATAAAGCATTCAGTTCTTATTTGCATATTCTTAATTTGCAAATTCTCTCCCTCTAAATTTTTTTTTGGTAACCTCCAAATCATCATTTGCATCCAGACACAGTATGATGTATGTAGTCCCAGCGCTTTGGAATCAGACCTTAGAGAACTGATAGCTTGAGACAGCCTAGGCCACAGAGTGAAGCCATCTGAGAACAACAAAAAACCAAATAAAGAAAATAAACAAATAAAACTCAGAGGTGTACAGGAACCTAACCTTGTATTCTCCCTAAAAGCAATGCTGCAATATTTGCTAATTCAGTCTGCTAACAGCTTTATGAAGCATTACAACAGACCCTTGGGTGTCAGTAGGATGACCAAGGAGACCACTATGAGAAGCTGACAGCACAGGATGCTTAGAGCTCATCCTGAGATTGTGTATGCTTAATTCTTTTCTCCCATAACACAGCCCGGCTTCCAGTAAGGATCTGCCACCTTCCAATAAATCTAAAATTTACACTGTATCACTTCAATTAAGCACATTAACCTTGACCTTTTGGGTACATACACACACACACACACACACACACACACACACACACACACACATGCACACACAATTAAGGATAGAGGACACAATAGTTTTAAAAACAACTGACAATAATGCAGGACTAATAGAACGTTTCTGCAACAACTGAGTTACATGATATGAATGCAAGAATTTATATTTGTTTTTAAATTTGTTATGCATTCGTAACTTTTCTAGTTCACGTTTGGTCAAAACTGCATGTAATAGATCCATGAATAAGGTGGGCTTTGCTGTACTAACAACAGACATTGACTACCCAGCAAGACATTCATACTTCTTACCGATAACAGAATTTATTTGGAGGTAGCACGAATTGTTACTACAAAAAATGGTATTGACTCATCTTTTAAAAAAAGATAAGCTTTAGTGGTATATGAGGTAAGTGGTGTAGAAGAACACACGTAAGATTATGACAAAGCTTTACGCTTTGGTTTGTGCATGACGGGATTGTGGTAAAGATTTTCCAAGGTAAAGTATATAACCCAATTAGAAAGCTAACCAAAGCCTACTTAATAACTGCTCTACGGTGCACTTGGTGTGGTACTGGGGTTTGAACTCTAATCTTTGCTGGCACCTATGCCATTGAGGTACATCTCTAGTCCAACTTCACTCTTGATTTGGTGGATTTGTTCTCTCTTGGAAATCCTTTAGTAGCATGTTGGGTTGCTTGGACTGGCCTTATAATTTTTTTTTTATTCCCTCTGTCTCTCTCCCCCATCTTTAATGTCTTCCTTACTTCTAAATGCTTTTTATCTTTCTGACTTTTCTGTTTTTATATGATCCTTTTTGGACCAGAATATCTTCATTTACACATGTTCACAGTAGTTTATTCTTCTTTAAAAGTCTTCCCTACATAGTCCAAGATGCTCTTGTCTTTCCGGTTTTCGTCTGTGTGGCATCCATCTTCAATGCTAGAAGTGTTTTTCTCACATGACCAGTAATGAATCTTTGATTTCATCTCATGATTGGAGCTGGGGCTGAGAGCTGTGACAGGGTTTTGTTGACTTGAAGCCCTGCTGGAGAAATCTCTAAAGCTCATTTTTCCAAAGCATCCCAGTGTCAGAACTTCACTCTTTCTTCTTTAACTGCTAACAGTACCCACCAAAAAGTGCCCCAATCTCCTATCTGAATAGTAAAAGATGTTTCAAGGTGTTCCTGTGACTTTGGAAGGAAAGGTGATTGTCCATGGGGGTTTCTATTAACCATTCATTGCATAGAGTCACACTGAACTATGCTGTTGATCAATGACTTTCTCCTTTGGCCTTCCCAGAGCATGTAAATCTAGCCTCCTGGAGGGGAGGGGCAGTTACTCTGCAATGGTCAGTGGATGGGGAAGACCTTTGTCTCCTCAAACACAGCACTCTCCTTAATCCTCTGTTCATTTAGAATTTGGCTAAGTCAGAGACCATCTGTCCGTCTTCCCTTGAGCTTTCAAATTTTGTTTCTCTTATCCCTTCTCTTTATTCTATTCTTGTGAGGTTTTTAAAAACACGGTAAGGCTTTCCTGGAAATTTTCAGGAAGGAAGTTTTGCTGTGCATGCGACCTTAACACTAGAGTCATAAAGGTTTCATCTGGCAGGTGATTTCCTCCAAAGTATACCTACCACTATCGTCAGCCACACCCATTCCTATGACTTAAGGAGGTTTGATAGGCCACTTCCTCTAGAGGACCTCCCCATATTTACTGCCACACCCACTTCTATAACTTGCAGAGCTGGAAAGGTGGTTTGTGAATGTTCAGAGCACCTATATTTTTATCTCAACACTATCTTTTCATCTTGTTTGTGTGTTCTTGACATCTCCAGAGAGTCTGACCTACTTCAGTTGTAGCACAGTTATTTCTTGGACAACTAGATCAATGATTTCTGATGTTAATGGCAAATTATAATGAAAAGGGGAATGTTTAATTCCCATCTTATTTGATTTAGGGATTCAAAGTTGGTAGATCCAAAAGTTGTCTTATTCTATTTTGGTAAAAATGTATTAGAAGACATGATCTTTTAGAACATCACTTATTAATTTCAATTCCTGGATTACTTGTTTGTGTTATTTGATACATGAACATTAGCAAGGAAATACATCTATGAGCACCTTCAACTGTCCTCCACTAATTCTATGTATAATGCTTTCCTTATGCTAATATATACTAACTAATTATAGGATGATACTGCATATGATAGAATGCTGTGGTGGTTTAGAATCTACTCTTTTGAATATTAAATGTTCTTTTGCTTCTTGCCAACTGTACTACTAATGAACTTAAATGTCAACCTTAAAAGGCAATGAATAAGAATGAGTTTGCTCAATCGACCAAAATAATGAGTTCTAACATATAAAAGAAAGGCTCTAATTATACTGGAAACTCATACTTCAGGTTATCTCTATGGAAAAAAGTCAGAATATAAATGTATAGTTTAGCCATTAGTCCACTGTACTCATCTTAATTTTTAGATAATATTTATTATGTTGTAATGGCATTTGACTGTCTGGTTCTTTAGTTTGTAATGCAACTTTTGTCCTTAACTTCAACATTAAGAAGACACTGTCCCTTTCCTCCACAAAATGGTAGCAAACACCACAGTGACCCTTATTGAAAATCACAGCAACTAGAGTATTTGCTATCCCTGGTCATTCTTGAGTTTGACTAGAAAAAGTTGCTCTCAATAATTGTTTCCTTATGGAGATAAATGAGGGGAAACCAAACACAGGAAACTAGTAGAAACAAAGAAAATAGTTCAAAGACTTACACTTTAAAGATCACTTTAAGGCTAGATTGAGTCATCTGGAGCTACAGCAATTATTTTCCTTGAGTGCTGGACATTCTCATGAATGCGTTTTAAAGAAGTTGGCATTGGCCATTGGTGAGAAGGCTAAAATTAAGGAGACTCAAATGTGTTTTAGACACCAACGGTGCTTTTCTGGTCAATAACAGACACAGCATAGGACATGTTGAATGTACATTACTTTTACTCCTGGGTACAGAGAGCAAAAGTATACAAAATAAATGGAAGGCACATTTCCTTTAATGCACATAGGAAGAGGAGGGGAAAATGAATAGAATGAATATAACTCAAAAGTCTATTTTTCCCTCTTACCAAAATTTCAAGTGCCTCAAGTAAGTTTAACTTAAATTTTGAAGTACTTTTTTTAATGAAGTGTGGGAAACACTCATTAATTATCAGAGAATCCCAGTGTATCTGATTTTTTCTAATACAAAACCCTTTCATAAGTGTCCATAAACTTAGACAGTTGTAGCTCACTCATTGTTTTCAATTTAAAAATACTTAGACCATGTGAAGCAAACAACTAAAACTCAAAACAACAGAACAAAAGCAACAAAAACAGAGGCAGTACTGGAAAGGAGATGTGATAATGAATATAATTTTATATGCGGGTCTAATTTCTCAGAAGATCTTATTTAAATATTCACATATACCCTTATGGCCTCCTTGGGTCCACAAGTCATTTTGTTCTTAAGAGGGCAGGAACTGGAAATACTGTGACAATTCTCTCAAGGTGGGAAGCAAGTCCGTAGGGATTTCTAGTCTGACAACAGACTAGGAGTACTGAGCACTGAGCACTTACCAGGAGGAAATGTATACCTTACATGAGGAAGGCCCCGACTACTGCACCCGGTCATCCGTACTAAATTTTTACTGCTTCCTCATAGCAGTGATTACTGTATATTCACTGAAATTTTATGGTAAATGACTCTTGTTTTCAGAATCCAGCTGAACAACCTACATGATCTTCATGGTGAGGATGAAAGCATTACCTTGGATCACTGGTAGCTTTTTGACATCATGAGTTTTTTTTCTCTCCCAGGAAGGGCACAGGATTGGAAAATAGGCAACCTGGGATCTACTTTTGGACTAGCACTAACCCTCCTAGATGACCTAATCACCCTCTCTGGGTTCCAGTTATTTCCATCTGGAAAATAAGAGGATTGAACCAAATGATCTGTAAAGTCCTTTCTTGTACTAAAATTTTATGGCTCTAAAGAGAAAGGCTTCTATAGTCACATAAAAAGGCATGTTAAATGAGGCCAAAAAGTAGTTCAGGCAGTTAAGTGTTGGCTGTTGGCAGAGAGCCTTTCTCCGGATTGGTGTGGAGTGGTCACTCAACAGTAATGTCAGTAACATGCCCAGGCCATTGTTTAAATTCTTTCCATTTATTCCTCTCACTGGGGCCTCTCACTGGACAGCATCTGTCAACCCTTTTCTCTACTGTTTCTTCTACTTGAGTATTTTTTTTGGTTTTTCTTTTTTCTTTTCTCA